TGGGTCCCCCACTATTTGAAGAAGAGCAGGAGAAGGATGAGGTCTAGGGAGAGAGAAAGAGAGAAATAGAGAAACAGAGACAGCTATATAAAGATACAAAGATAGAGGGATGGAAGAAATATAGGACGATGCGGAAACGCACACTGTCCAAGGGAAAGCGCGCGTACCTCCGCATTGCGTCGCGCACGCTGCCCGGGGTATGGAGAGAAGGAACGCATGCAACAGGTGACTGGGCAGAACAAACATATACCACAGACACTCTCTCTCTCTCTCACTCTCTCACACACGACACACACACACACGACACACTTCCACGGTTCCCCTATCCAATCGAACAATGCCTCGGCCCTGTACGCAGCGGATTCGCACCCTGGGCGCGCAATTCGGGCGCGAGTACAAGACACGAATACAAAGCGCAACTCCGACTTCAAACAACGTGGGTGCGACGTAGAATGTTAAATACTCGCGTCGGCTACAATAGCCCGACCATGTAGCTATTCACGCACCGCAGTGACTGCAAGATGGGAAACAGACCAGATAGATTTCAACATAGCCTTTTATCGAGGCACAATATACAGCCCACGTGTCACACGCAGACAACGTAACCAATCCAGACAGCAGAGTCCTGCCGCATTGACCTAGGAAAGCCACAGCCCTCCGATGGACGTTTGATCAGGAGACGCGCTACGGACTGCATGGGGGCGGTGGTAGTCGCACACACACACACTGTTTCCGTCGGCGGCGAGGCAGAATTGGTTGCACCAGCGATAGAGCTAGACGGGGGCACCGGAAAGCGACTTGGCCAGCATGCAAGAGTGGAAAAGCACACACTCACACGCACGCACGCACGCACGCACGCACGCACGCACGCACGCACGCACGCACGCACGCACGCACGCACACACACACACACACACACACACACACACACACACACACACACACACACACACACACACACACGCGCACGCACGCACGCACGCACGCACGCACGCACGCACGCACGCCCTTTGCGGCGTCGGGGCCCCGCGCGCAGCGACAGGTCGTCCAAAGGTCGGAGAAGAGGGCGCGCGCGCGTCAAGAGAGAACGAGCGGCGCCGCGGCACCCGCGCATACCACACACACACACACACACACGCGCGCGCGCGCGAACTTCTTGAGCACTCCCGGGCTGGAGCGACTCCGGGCCAGATGAAGGACGCTCGACGCGCGCGCGCGCAGGCGGGGAAAAGAAGTGGCCCTGCCCTCACGGGGCGGTGGCGAAAGGACCAGCGGCGGGGCGGAGGGAGGATAGCATTGCGTAGGTCGGGCATGTCCTCCTACAGACGGATTTAGGAAGAAATATCAAACATTGTCAAAAATATGCATACACACACAAAAAAAAGTCCGGATAGCACGAAACATCGTCTCCAGACTATTTTGAAACTATTCTCGAATATTCCTCCAGTAGAGGGGCATGCCCGACTTGAGGGTAGCAGCAGCCACGGGGACCGGGCCAGCGAGGCGCGCGAGGGTGAGCACCGAGCCCTGGAGGGCGGCGGCAGGGCGGGGGGAGGCCGGGGGAGGAGCGCACAAGGGGGCGCCAGAGAGACGGCTCAGTCAACCCGCACAGCAAGGGTGGGCAACCTTCCCAAGGGCACCCCCTTGCATCCTTGCCTCCTCGGCCATCCTTGGCCACTTTCTTTCGTTGGCCGCGCCCCTCTCGAGAAGCTTCGAAACGGCCCTCCAAGGCCCTCACATCCTCATCGCGCGTCCTCGTGACACGGGCTGGCTGTCGCAGCAAGGCGGGCCGCCGACGGGCGACGGAGCCAGGCAGCGGTAGGCGGCGGCCGCCCGTCACAGGCAGGCCTCCAGGCGGGAGCGCGGGCGGGGCGCGAAGGCGCGAACCCCCAGGGGAGGGACTGCGGGCACCCGAGGCTGGCGGGGAGAGGGAAGGCGGTCCAGGCAAGCCGGCCCGCCTGTGAAGCAGACGGGCGGCAGCCGTGTCAGATGGGAGAAGGCCAGCCTCGGGGCCCGCCGCGGCCTCGGCACGGTGCCCGTGCTCATGGAGAGCGGGGCGCAGCGCGGGAGGCGCCGGGGCGGCGAGCGATCCGCACACCGAGGCCTTCGCCAGCGATCAGCTCGCGGGGGGGGAGGGCAGACGCACGCGCCAGTCGGGCACGCGCGGGGCGCCGTGGTGGGGATGAGGTGGCTGCCGGGCACCGCGGGCGACCAGCACGGAGGGCCCTCCGTGGTGATCAGCCCCCACAGCGGGGCAGAACGCCGCGTCGTTCAGAGCGAAGACGCGATACGAGCGGGTCAAGGAGTGACGAGGCGTTCGCCAGCCCGCAAGCAAGAGCTCGAGCCAGGCGAGGGGCGGGCGGGTGAAAACAAAAAAAAAGACGAGCCGTGTTAAGCGGCGCGCCGAGGCTGGAAGTCGCGGTTGCGACGGCCGCTGGGAGGCGTCCGTCGGCGGCGGGTGAGCCACCTGGCGCACAGGGCCGGGCACTGGCCGTGCAACTCGCGCAAGCGCAGGGCCGCCGAGAAAAAAGGGCGAGGGGCCGGCGCCGCTCGAAGGGCCACTCGAGGAGGGCCTCGAGGCAGGCGTCGCGCACCTGGCCTGCCGTCGGTGCCCCACGTCGAGTCACATACACACACACACACACACACACACACACACACACACACACACGCATGCGTGCGTGCGTGCATGCATGCATACAAACATACATACACTCATGCACACATGCACACATACATACATACGCATACATACGCACACATACATTCATACATGCATACATGCATGCATACATGCACACATGCATACATAGGTATGTATACGCACGCATACCTACATACATGCATACATGCATGCATGCATGCATACATACATACATGCATGCATGCATGCATGCATACATACATACGTACATACATGTGTACATACATACATGCAAATATACATACATACATATAAACATACATGCCTGCAGACCTGCATGCATACATACATACATGCGTACACACATGCATGCCTGCATGCATGCATACATACATACACCTATGCACATACAGTTATACATACATACACGCATACATGCACGCACACCTACACACACATACACACATACATACATACATACATGCATGCATACACACACACACATACATACATACATACATACATACATACATACATACATACCTACGTACATACATACATACATACATACATACATACATACGTACGTACGTACGTACACATTCAAGCATATATATATATATATATATATATACATCTATACATCCATGCATACATACATGCATGCACGCATACAAACATACATACGTGTATACATACGTACAGACATACACACAGACATGCATATATATATATGTGTACACACACAGAGATACATACACATATATGCAAATATCTGCATACATACATACATACAACCATACATACACATATGCATGCATACATTCATACGTTCATACATATATACGTGCATACAAACATATATACACATTCGTACACACATACATACATACACATCTACATTCCATCGATGTATACATACATACCTACATACATGCATACGTACGTATATGCATACATACATACATACATACGTACGTACGTACGTACGTACATACATACATACATACATACATACATACATGCATACATACGTACATACATACATACATGCATACATACATGCATACATACATACATACATAAACGTAAACATACACATATATTCATAAACACACATATACACACGCACAGACACACGCTTGATCCACATACGATCCGAGCACACAGTGACGACACCACAGTGAGCACTCGCCCACCACGCCGTGCCCCCACCCTTGAAGCCAATGAGTTCGCCGTCGTTCGCGGTCCGAGGAGCGGGAGGGGGGAGAGGAGGGGAGAGAAAAAGGGGGAGGCGGAGAGGGAAGGAGGAGCCAAAGGGGGAAGGGGAGAGGGAGCAGGATACGAAGGGCTCGCAAACCTTGGGGACGCTCTGGACTAGTTCGTTTTCATGTTCTCACTGCTTGGACCATAATTATGCACTCCTGCATTGGGACGCCAGTACGCCAGTCGCAGCATCACGCGGCGGACGCATTCCAGAAGGCCACCGTTGACGTGTCTCCTTCCTCCGTTCCTCCCTTGTCCTCCAGAGGCTCGATGAGGCCCAACGGCGCCCAAACACCTCGAACTCCCCCTCCACATCCCCACTCCGTCTCCCCCCGGATGGACACGCGGAGCCGAAGCGCATCGCCTGCCCAGAAAAACACCCTTTGGGCACCTGGAGCGGCGCGAACACTGGCTTTGAACACCGACAGTCAGCACTGGTGCCGCTGCACCCTCCTCACCCTCCTGCTCCCCCCGCCCTCCACACAGCCCAGGCCTACACCCCTGGCGACTCGAAGAATGGTGCCGGAGGCAAGTGGTCCGCCTCTGGAGGCCCCATGGGGTCGGGCTCCCAGAGGCCCACGGGAACATCTGCCAGGAAGCGGCCGCGGCGGCTGCGGCTCAGACAGCTGGGCCGCGCCGGGCAGCAGCCCCAGGGGCCAGCGGCTCAAAAGGACATCGGCTCAAAAGAACATCGGCTCAAAAGGGCATCGGCTCAAAAGGACATGGCCTGAGCTCCAGGGGCCAGCGGCTCAAAAGGACATCGAGCGGTGGGAGGTCTGGAACCGTCCTCCTCCGCCCACGGAAGCCCCGCCAGGGTCGACTCGACTATGGCAGTCGGGCCGGCAAAAAAAAGAACAGGGGCAGGGGTCGGCAGCGCCGCGCCGCGGCCGTCAAGGAGTCAAAGAGTGGCGCGGCGGGGCGTTCTCGGCCAAGTGCTCTACGTATAACTCTGCAGGCATGCGGTAACATTGCCATGCAGTCCCACACGAACAAATGCGAAGGACACCGAAAACAAAGTCGCGAGAGCTTGTGTGAGCCTCTTTGAAGAACACAAGCGCGCTTCCATCAAAAACAGTGGCGAATTACAGCGATGAGAATATGGCAGATGGCTGGGGAAGACGCGGAGGATGAGGTGAGCTTCAAAAGTTTTTGTAAAGATACGTCCATTAAATGGCTTGTGCTCGCGGTTGGAACCAGCGAAAGAAAAAGGGAGGAAGGCGAGGGAAAAGTGGAAGAATCGAGACGTACGACTGGCACTCTGCAGTGGCAAGGTGTGATTATGCTGAAAGCAATTGAAAGCACTCGTTTGCCTTGCCCGCGAGACGAAAAAGCGCAAAAACAACAGGGTGGTAGCGTTCGCAGCAAGGGCAAGAAGCGGCACCAACACTAGCTTTTTCCGAGGTTCACCCAGATTTCGTGGGTCGGCGCTGGACCCGCCTCCCAACACCCCCTCCCCTGGCGCGCGGAGCGCGCTGGTGTGGGGAGGGGGGTTCTGGCGCCGACCCAACCTAGAAATGCGACGTCATGCTTTGTTCCAGTACGGGCTTCCCAGCAGTCCCAACCATTTTCCCAGGGCCCGTTCTTCTTCCCGAGCCGTTTTGTTGACGGCCCCACGGCCCGGCGAGGGCCCCCAGAGGCCGAGAAAACGGCCAAAAACCTCCCACCGCGACTTCTGCCACGACGCGCGAGCGTGTCCGGGGAGCCGTCTGCCCGCGCCTGTGAGAGCTTGTGCTCATCATGCTCCGCGCGCGCGGCCACGCGCGCGCGGAGCAGAAGGAGGAGAAGGAGGAGCAGGAGGAGGAGGAGGAGGAGGAGGAGGAGGAGGGAGGGAGGAGGCAGGGAGAAGGGGAGAAAGAGGAGGAGGAAGAGGAGGAGGAGGAGGAGGCGCAGGAGGAGGAGGGGGAGAAAGAGGGGTTCAGGACTCATCTTCACATGAAGCCGATTAGCTTGTGCTCTTCCAGCTCGGAGGGGCCCCGCGCGCGAGGCCCCACGCGCGGGGCCCGGCCAGCGCTGGTTCGGGCGGGCAGGCGCGCGGCGCCCGCTCGGCAGGCCAGCGGCGTCTTCTGCCCTCGCCGGGGGCCCCGGCGGCGAAGGCCCCGGGCGAGGCGGCACCGCGCCGCGTCCCTGAGGTCCTGGCGCCTCACCTTCGTACTCGCTCTGCTCCTCCTCCTCCTCCTTCTCCTCCTCCTCCTTTTCCTCCTCCTCCTCCTTCTCCCGCCTTCCTTCTCCTCCTCCTCCTCCTCCTCCTCCTCCTCCTCCTCCTCCTCCTCCTCCTCCTCCTCCTCCTCCTCCTCCCACCTTATTCCTCCTCCTCTTCCTCCTCCTCATCCTCCTCCTCATCCTCCTCTCCTCATCCCCCATCATCATCATCATCATCATCATCATCATCATCATCATCATCATCATCATCATCATCATCATCATCATCATCATCATCATCATCATCATCATCATCATCATCATCATCAGCAGCAGCAGCAGCAGCATCATCATCATCATCATCATCATCATCATCATCATCCTCATCATCATCAATGTCCTCCTCCTCCTCATCATCAGAAGTATCATCAGCAGCAACATCATCCTCGGTATCATCAGCATCAGTATCAGCATCAGCATCTACATCAACATCATAAGCATCAGCATCATCAGCAGCATCACCATCATCGTCATCAGCATCAGCATCAGCATCACCAGCATCAGCAGCAGCATCAACATCAGCATCATCAGCAGCATCATCATCATCAACATCGTCATCATCATCAGCAGCATCAGCATCGTCATCGTCATCGTCATCATCATCAGTATCATCAGCACCATCAGCATCAGCAGCATCGGAATCATCAGCACCATCACCATCATCATCATCATAATCATAATCAGCATCCTCGTTCTCATCCTCGTCCTCATCCTCATCCTCATCCTCCACCTCCTCCTCCTCCTCATTATCCTCCTCCTCCTCCGCCTCCTCCTCCTCCTTCGCCTCCTTGCCGAGCGTGTTCGCCAGGTTCGCCAAGTTTCGGGCCCCGCTGGGTTGGGCGCGGGGGCTGCGACGGGGACGGGGGAGTCCTCAGTGGATGCCAGGGTGGGTCATATCGGGCCGAACCTAGCCCATCGATGGGTGACAAGTGCCCCAAATAGCCTAGGGGGGATCAACGATGCAGACTGAGTTGGCTCAGCCCACCTAGCCGCCCCCCTGAGCCACTTGGAGCATCTGCAGCAAACTTATGAGCTAGGTCTGACCAAATATACCCCACCTTGGCATCCATTGATAACGCCCCGCTCTCCTTAGCAGCCCCCGCGCCCATCCCAACGGGACCCTCACACACTGTCGCGGCTCGACAAAGGGCGCAGAAGGCTTGGGCCTGGGGGCTTTGGCCGGGATGTTTCGCGGTGTTGCCATCTTCGCTGCACGTCGGACCTCGGGGGCGGCAGGCTCCACGACAGGGAACATGATACTGGCGGCGGCCCACGCGGCGACGGTGACATCGTAACGACCGGGGCACGACGAAGAGGCCAACACCAAGGGCGGGCGCCAGCCGGACCACAGGGCGCCGCCGCCGACCCGCAAAAGCCGCGGCCGAGGGGCGCCCGAAGCGCCGCGGCCGCCTCGAAGGCCGCGTGCGGAGGAAGAGGAGGAGGAGGAGAGGAGGATGAGGAGGAGGAGGAGTGAACGAAGCCTCGAGGGCGAGAGGCTCGCTTCGGCTAGTGCGCTCCCCACTGTACTGGGAGCACACCGTCTCCGCTCGCGGGCGGGGCGGGAGGCACCGAGCGCGGAGCGCGAGCATTAATAATGTGACTGCCTGAATCATCGTGCGATGGCACGATGCGCGGCAGGCTGGCCGCGCGCTCGCTGCAGGCTGGGCTGTCAGAAGTGGCAGCCAGGGGCACAGGGCGCGGCATGCGGGCCGCGCGTGGGCGGCTCATGGGCGTCAGGCAGCTGCGGCGGCCAGCACCTCCAGTAGCGTCATGAGGTAGCTGGAGTGGCCGCGTAGCCCTCTGACGGCGTGACGCACCTCACGCTGGCAGAGTCCTTCAGGATGTGGTAGAGCCTCGTCGCGACTCCCAAGCGTGTGGCCGAAGAGGCTATCCCGTTCTCGCCGTCGAACGGGGTCTCGAGCGTCGGGAGGCCGATCCGTGTGAGAATGTCTGTGGCCAGCTGTCCTCTAGGCTGTGCCACATGATGAAGAAGCCGTGGGCATATTAGATCGTGTTGTACAGCATCAGGGCATTTGCAACCGAGTACACAATCGCGACGCTGGGGGAGCACATGCATACGTATAGTCGTAGTCCATGCTCCTGCCAGCGCTTTCATAATGGCCCAGACTCTCGCAGGAGGCTGCGTCGCCAGGTGCGTGCGAAGGCGGTGCCAACGCTGTTGAAGATCTGCAGGAAGATTCTCCAGTTGGACAAGGTCAGGATCGTCATGGGAGGCCAGCGGGTCCAGATCAACTTCGGCATCATGATCGTGATCATCATCTCCAGGGCGTAGTTCAGGATCACCTCCAGGAGGGAAACGAAGACGTTGACTGCGGACCCAGCGGCGCCTGGCACGATGTTCAGCAGTGGCCGTACGACGAAGTGCGAGTGCACGTAGCTGAGCGGCAGGTTCCCGTGGGGTGTCAAGCAGAGCTGCTTCCAGACGAGATCGAGGGACTTCAGAAGCATGCCACGCTTCACGACATATAGTAGTTGCCAAGCGTCTGCGCTCGGCTCTGGTGGAGCAGATGGGCAGGAAGACGTCGCGATTCAGCACCCGCATGACATACTCAATGCACCACTCGTCCCACTCCTTCTTGTTGTCGAGTTTGGGATCCCTCAAGAGAAGATCAGGGAGCCAGCTGCCAGCCCAATGTGCCGCACGATCTTGTAGATTCGCTCTCGTGGCTTGCGCAAGCGGGAGTGCAGGGTCTTGATGACTTACTGGACGCGGCAGAAGATACCAAGCAGACAGGCGTTTCGCTATAGGAGGAGGAGGAGGAGGAGGAGGGAGGAGGAGGAGGAGGAGGAGGAGGAGGAGGGAGGAGGAGGAGGGAGGAGCGGTCGCGCAGCGGGCGCGCGGCGCAATCAAAACCCGCTACTTCTCCCCTCCCCTCCTCTCCTCTCCTCTCCTCTCCTCGTCCTCCTCGTCCTCCTCCTCCTCTCCTCCTCCTCCTCCTCCTCCTCCTCCTCCTACTCCTCCGTTTGCAACTACTCCTCGTCCCTCCTCCTCCTCCTCCCCTCCTCCTCTGCTCCTCTCCTCCTCCTCCTCCTCCTCCGTTTGCAGCTACTCTTCTGCCCTCCTCCTCCTCCTCCTCCTCCGCCGCCTCCTCCTCCTTCTCCTCCTCCTCTTCCTCCTCCTCCATTCCTTTTCCATATAACTAATTTCTTCCTGTTGCACCCCGAAGCCAGTCATCAGGGCTGGCCAGGCGTTTCGCCTGAGACTTCATCGCCATGTGTGACCCTGAAGTTTAAACATGTGCAACAGCTCCACAGCTGGAGGGCGGGTCGTTTGCATGATGCGGCTCTCGCCTTAGCGCGGCGCACATCTGCTTAAAATGTTGCAAGAGGTTCACGGGTTGAAGGCCGGTCGTTTTCAACATGTGATTCTCGACTTAGCATCGCGCTTTTAAACATTGTAAGAGTGCCACGGATTGAGGGCGGGTCGTTTTCAAAATATGGCTCTTGCCTTAGCGCCGCGCGCATTCGTTTAAAACATGTGCAAGAGCTTCACGGGTTAAAGGAGAGTGGCTTTCAAAATGTGGCTCTCGCCTTTGCGCCGCGCGCATTCGATTAAAAGGGTGCAAGAGTCTCACGGATTGAGGGCGGGTCCGTTTCAAAATGTGGCTCTCGCCTTAGCGCCGCGCACATTCGTCGACAACAGTTTCAAGAGTTCCACGGATTCCCAACATCAGCATACCAGACCTGGTGGGCGTGTTGGAAGGATTCAGGATTATGCAGGTGCAACAGTTACATTGGTTCTCTGTCGTGAAGTCCTAGGAATGGCGTTCTGGCATGTTTCAGGATCGTCAAGACGCAACAGTCAGGTTGATCCGTGGCGTTGGAATCCCGAGAACCATGTTTTGGCATGCTTCAGGGTCTTCAAACAGGTGTTTTCCATCGCGGCAGTTCCATCAATGGAAATGAGCCGTTGTAGGGGCCTGTGAAGAGTGAGCTTGGAGGAAAGGCTTACTCGAACATCGTTGATGACTCTTGGGTTCACACAGGTCCTCCTCCTCCTCCTCCTCCCCCTCCTCCTCCCCTCCTCCTCCTCCTCCTCCTCCTCCTCCTCCTTCTCCTCTTCCTCCTCCTCCTCCTCCTCCTCTTCCCCTTCCTCCTCCTCCTCCGTTTGTAGCTACTCCTCTTCCCTCCTCCTCCTCCTCCTCCTCCTCCTCCTCCTCCTCCTCCTCCTCCTCCTCCTCCTCCTCCTCCTCCTCCTCCTCCTCCTCCGCATCATCAGCATCATCAGCATCATCATCATCATCATCATCATCATCATCATCATCATCATCATCATCATCATCATCATCATCATCATCATCATCATCATCATCATCATCATCATCATCATCCTTTCGCTCGCCCCGCCCCACCCCATCGGTCGGCTCCGTCGCAGCAGCGGCCCGCCTCGCAAATGAAACAAAAACGGGAGGAGGAGCGCACGCGGCACAACTCGCCGTGAGGACGGGGAGGAGGGCCACCACTGCTCAACAGCGGATCGAGCCGCGTGTGACCGTCCCTTTCGCAGGGGTGCCCTCGCACTCGTCGCCTTTGACGCCGAGCAATACATGTCGGATGATGTCTGGAATGTTCTCAACAGTCGACAGGGCCCACAATATGGGCATCAAATCCAACAGCTCTGTGTCCGAGGGGTTGCTCCTCCAGGTCTGGATCGGTATCGCGTTCTCGGGCTGCATCGAGTAGCACACCGGCGAATTGTCTATGATGATTATGTTCGACAGTTCCCGGCCGAGCTTAGACAGGTCCTTCACGTACCCAAAGGGCGAAGGCGTACAGGCCTCGCGGAAGAGCCGGAAGGCGAGCATTCCGTATGGGTCCAGCTCATCCAGCACGGCGTTAGCGTACTTGGACGTGGCTGCAGTGTACACAACGACCTCATACAGCTGCGTCATCTTCTCGAGGAACTCGTCCACTCCTGGCCGCTTCCCCACGTAGACGGGGTGCACCTCACCCTCGATCTCCACGTGGACAATCAGGTTCGAGCTGCCGTGGTCTATGAACGAGCTGTGCACAAGGGTCTCGTCCAGATCAACAACCAGGGTCTTCCGCCCCACGTTCGGGCCAGCCTGCGGGCCCAGCTGCCCCTCCCGCTGCTCCAGCTGGCGGCCCTGCCCCCCGAGCCGCAGCTCCACCTGCTGCGCGGCCGCCGGTGCGAGGCTGAGCTGCCCACACCGTGGCTCCACCCGAGCCCCCTCCACCGCCGGACTCATAGCGCGGCCGGGCCTGCTCGCCAGGACCCCTGCACCGCCCGCAAGGCTCCCGCTGGACCCTCGACGGTGCAGGGCGGCAGCCCGCGCCCTCTCTCGCTCCGACGCCGCCCGCCTGCGGCACGCCTCGCGGCCGCGCGCTGGCGCGCCCGCGTCTGGCCGCCAGGGCGCGGGCCGCGGCTTGCCGTCGTCGGGGGCGAGGACGTCCTCCGCGGCTGGCGCGGAGCCGCCGCCCCCGCTGGCGGCGCACGGGGCTGCTGGGGAGGCCTGCGCTCCGGAGGGCGCCGAGGGCCGCTGCCACGGCGCCTGCGGCGGCGGCCACGGGGGGCCCGGGCTGGGCACCACGGACCTCAGCCGCTGGCGCTGGCGGCTCTTCGCGCGGCCCTGCGGCCGGACCAGGGCGAGCAGGCGGCGGCACCAGTGTGCGCCCCGCCTCCGGCGCGGCGCGGGGGCGGCGGGCTCCGGGGCTGGGGCCTCCTCCGAGGGCGGCCTGCCCGAGGCGGAAGCCGAGGCCCAGGGCCCAGGCCCGCCTGCGAGGCCTCGGCTCGGGGCGCCCTCCCCGGCCTCCTCCGCCGAGCTGTGCGCCGCGAGTCCCTGGAGCGCTGGGCGCGCTGGCCCCCCCGCACCCTCGACCGCAGCTGGGGGCGGCGCTGGGCTCACCGGGCCAGCCATCGTGCCATCGGGGCGCCGCGGTTCCGGGGGGCGACGTCGCCGTGGCGGCGGGCCTCAGCAAGGGTAGGCCCAGGCAGCGCGCCTCGGGCCACGCTGCCCTGTGCGCCAAAGTGCATGCGGAGGAGGGGCGAGGGGAGAGTGGCGAGCAGGAGCAGGAGAGGAGAGGGCAGCGGGGTGGCCAGAGCAAACTCAGCAAGCAGAACTGGTGTCGCAACGCTGCTTCCTGTCCCAGGCTCCATCTTGATTGACGAATACGACGGGCACTCGTTGCCACTACGGCGATTGCCATATGAAGTCGTTAGGGCCCAGTAGGCTCGCAACAGGTTCAGGACCTGGGATTGCTGGACTTGTAATAATCGTACGGTCGAGCCACATGATCGGAACCTGAGAAGACTGGAAGGGTGTGAAACCTCTTGCTGTACCCTTAGCAGTGTCCCCAGGTCCACCGAAGCGTTAAGATTCGGCACTGGTCGGGTAGGGCTTGTGTGAATTTTCTGAAGGGTCCAACCCTCTCTTCACGCTTACCTGCAGGCACCGCCCCCCCATCCCGAGGCTTTTTGGGCGGCCCGGCGTATCCCTGAGGCTCTACCAGGCTCTCCGAGAGGGAGGGAGGGACGCGGGGCGCTGTGTCTTCAAAACGATGACCCAACACCACAGGATGGTTGGGAAAAAACACATCGCCAGATATGCACGATCTGCGCTGCCCTTACCTCCGCCGTGCCTCTCAGAAGCCCACGGAAATGGCGACGGTTGGGCACTTCGCAGCCCCCGAGGGAGGCGAGAGGTCTCAAATGTATCTGCGCTGCCCTCACATCCGCCGTGCCCCCCAGGCGCCGCCGAAAGTGACGACAACTGCGCACTTCGCAGCCCCCGAGGGAGCCGCGACGTCTCAAATGGATCTGCGTTACCTAACCTCCACTGTGCCTCCCAGGAACCCACGGAAGTGGCGACGGTTGCACAGTTCGCAACCCCCGAGGAAGCCGCGAGGTCTCATTGGATCTGCGCTGCCTCACCTCCCAGGGACTCACGGAAGTGGCGACCCCGAAGGGGCCGCGAGGACTCCAATGTATCTGCGCTGCCCCCACCTCCGCCGTGCCTCCCAGGAGCGCACGGAAGTGGCGACGACTGCGCAGTTCGCAGGTGAGGTCTAAAATGGATCTGCGCTGCCCAAGCCTCCGCTCCCAGGGGCCCACGGATATGGCGACGGTTGCGCAGCTCGCAGCCCCTGAGGAAGCCGCGAGACATTACATTGATCTGCATTGCCACACCTCCGCCGTGCCTCCCAAGAGCCAACGGACGTGGCGACGATTGCGCAGGTCAAAGTCCCGAGGGTGCCGCGAGGATTCAAACGGATCTGCGCTGCCTTTACATCCGCCGTGCCTCCCAGGAACCCACGAAAGTGGCGACGATTGCGCAGTTCGCAACCCCTGGGGAAACCGCGAGACATCACATGTATTTGCGCTGCCCTCACATCCGCCGTGCCTCCCAGGATCCCACGGACGTGACGACAACTGCGCAGTCCGCAGCCCCCAATGGGAAAGATATGCGCAAGCGAAGCTAGGAGGCAAGAGGCAGGAGAAGAGAGGCAGGAGACAAGAGGCAGGAGGAGAGGGGAGGAGGATGGAGAGGAGAAGGATGGAGACCCGATTGGTTTGTTCAAAGCCAGAATCCAACACAGGTGGGCTGGCAAAAAAAAATCGCTTACCAACACAGATATTGGAATGTTTCTGTCCGCGCCCATTTGCTGAAACGGGTTCTTTTTTATTACGCTTTATGAACAAACAACATGGCATTTACCATTTAGCCCCAAACCCGCATCCTCAATCCACCGCGCAGTGCATCCAGGTTGATCCAGCATGCGCCCAGCGCACAAATCCGTATCAAACCGTACAATGCGGGTCACACGCGCGCGCGCTGGCCGCCACGCAAGCGTGTCGGAGTCCGTTCAAAACCGCGGGTGCCCGAAACATGTCAAATTGGGGTCCTTCAAAAGCGTACGATTTAACAAAAAAAACGCGTCAACTAAAAATGTGTCTGGGGCTTTGGATGTCCGCGCGCGTGAACTTCATTAACATCAACCTCATCAACGACGCCGCATGGGGTCATCGTCACCGACAGCCGCCGCCACCGCCAGCCACCACCACTCAAGCATCCCCACCAAATGGACATCATCATCGTTATCGGCGCTACACGCATCGGCGCCGTCATCGGCTTTGCCGTCGTCATCGTCATCATCGTCACCTTTTTCGCTACTATCATCATCGTTGCCGCCCTTGTCGACGTTTTCATGATTCCACGCCCGCCCGAACCACCGACCCGCATTGAAATGCCCGCGCGCTGGCATGGGCTTTGACAACCGCTGAATGAAACTCTGCCTCTGGTAACCGCCATCGCGGCCACACAGGCTGTGCCAAAACAGCTGACCGCCTTGCGCGCGAGCCTGCGCGCACATGCGCGGCCGCAGAAATGTGCCAGCCATGGCCGAGCAGTCATCGCAATCGCCGTCGCGTGGGTTTTGCTAACCACGTTGCGAGCTTAAGGGCGGGATAACTGCGAGAACAATTGAACTGACAAGTCATCAGTTGGCAATAACTAGCTCCATCACATGGTTTACACCACATAGTTCGCCCCGCATGCCTCACACGCCCACAGTGAAAGAAGTTACTGTGTCGGGCCTACGCTTGCTAACATCATTATATATATAATTATATAATTATATAAGAATGGAAACGGAGGAAAAAAAACGAAAAGTGAAACTGGACGGACGTGGAAGGAGGGGGGAGAGGGGGAAGAGGAGGAGAAGCAGGGGGACGAGCAGTTGGTGACGAAAAAGCACCACCCGAAACCACACGATGATAAGAAGCAACGCCCAAACATGCCGAAACGGCGCTCACGCTGTGGACGCGCCAAGTTCGTCTGTGACACTACAGGGGACGAAGGCCACTGGTTCGACCCGCTAAACAAACAAAAACCCTTTTTTTCAGAACGGTTGGAACCCTAATGAAGCAAGGCCCCCGAGAATCCGGCCCCAGAACACAAACGCCCTCACCAGCGCCAGAAATGGGGCGATCCATGGAGAAGGACTAATACCGAAGCGTCATCTATCACGGTCCAGTCCACGTACACGAGCGCGCTCACTGGATCCGGGATGGGGTTCTGTATAAGGGTGTGAATCCTCGTCACGGGCGGCCTTGGACAGTCCAGTCCAGTATGCAAAAGTCCTCGCAGAGGCCTAACTGGGGTTCCCGCAGCCGCTTCCCTATTCCAGCTTTCAAGTGACAGGCCCACGATGCAAATAATAAAACGGGTCCTCGTCGTCGTCGCCGAAGTGCCCCCGCCAACGATAGGGCGCGTTGAGGCTCTGATAATCCACGACACGTGGATCCTTGGAAGTCATTGAAAACTCATGGCTCGCTCAGCTTCTCTTCACGGCGCACGCGCACGCCGCCGCCAGCATGCGCAGAAGGAAGACGACAGCCCGCTTCGCCTGGTCGGGCGAGCGCGCACGCCGACTCCGCGAGCGAGGAAGGCGCAGTTGCGGCAGGATGCACTCGAGCCAGAGCTCACGGCAACGGACCGACAAGAATGAAGGCCACTGTCGGCGACGACGATGAAAGTGCCGACGACGGGCCATCATCGGCGCCCGGAAAAATTTCGCGACAACACGATGCGGAGCTCGGAACTGCGCTGGACCTCTGCGATTGAAGGCTACAAACAAATTCCAGCACCACATATGTACACAACACCCGATTTGTTTTTAATACACACGTCTGTATTTGTACGCACGTATACAAATATGAGATATACACGTACACATATATATATATATACACACATATAATGTACAAAACGCATTGAGTTCCTAATGCCTCTGGAGACCCACCCACCCGACCCCCACACCGCCCCCACGGCGGTCAGGGGCAGGGAAGGGAAAAGCTAGGGACGAGTAGGCAAAGCCTGTACAGGTAGGGCGTGCCAAGGCGAAGCCTGTGCAGAATAGGAAACAACAGCAAGCGTCACTCACGATTATCTCGATAATCAACTCCCTTTTTTCAACAGACCACGAAATGACCAAAGCCATATCACCTGTCGATCACAGTTCAGACGTGTCGCAACATGCTTCCAATTAAACTCCCTCGGCCGAGGGTCTCCTTTGTATTTGACCTCATCCGATTCATCAAGGGAAAATCCCCTGAACTCCAAAGGGCGGGATCGGGTGGGCCCGAAAAGCTATGGAAGCACGCTTGCTGTTGAAGAGCATGGCTGGACCAACACTATACATTAATACCCGCTCGAAGACTCTCACTTCATCATAATGTACAAAACGCATTGAGTTCCTAAAGCCTCTGGAGACCCACCCACCCGACCCCCACACCGCCCCCGCGGCGGTCAGGGGCAAGGGAAGGGAAAAGCTAGGGACGAGTAGGCAAAGCCTGTACAGGTAGGGCGTGCCAAGGCGAAGCCTGTGCAGAATAGGAAACAACAGCAAGCGTCACTCACGATTATCTCGATAATCAACTCCCTTTTTTCAACAGACCACGAAATGACCAAAGCCATATCACCTGTCGATCACAGTTCAGACGTGTCGCAACATGCTTCCAATTAAACTCCCTCGGCCGAGGGTCTCCTTTGTATTTGACCTCATCCGATTCATCAAGGGAAATCTGAACTCCATAACGTATACAACATGTCCGCTCTAAGATAATGCCAAACTCCGGTATCCGATCATGCCACTCATATGGCTTTGAACCCACTGAACCTCAGAGCCAAACACCGCTTGCGTACCATAACCAATCGAACTGCGCGTGGGCCCACCGGCCGAGACGGAACCAAAAGGGAGGGCGAGTGGTGGGAAACTGGAGTACCTCCTGCGCGGTCAGCGGGGTCCGCAGCACGGAGGCGTCGACTGCCGACTCAATCGCATCCTTGACTCTCGTCGTGATGCGCTCCAGCTCTCTTCCGGGATCGGCCCCTGTGAGTGCCCACAACGGATTAGCCCACTGAAGTTCAAAACCCAATCTAGCGAAATAATATCGTACTGCCAGCACCTCTTCGTCCACTAACAGTACCTCCCAATCCCATATGAAGAAGCTCTCCGTGAAATTGAACTGGGAGGAGAGCCGCGCCGCCACTGGCGCCCTGACAGATACAGCGTTAATGGAACCCCACAACTCCACTGCCAGGTCATCTGGCACCACGGACAGCCCCCGCTC